GTTTTTAAAAATGTGGGTCCAAAAATAGCTTAAAACTGAGTGGGCTCTGTTAGAGAGGTCAGAGCAGTATTTCTCAACCTTGGCAACTTTAAGATGCGTGGACTTCAACTCCCAGACTTCCCCAGCCAGTATGGCTGGCTGGGGAACTCTGGGAGTTGAAGTCCACACGTCTTAAAAATGCCACGGTTGAGAAAGACTGGGTTGGAGCCACAACTCAAACTTCTGGAGGACTGGAGATTATCTAATGCCCCTGGATGGGTGGTCAGGCCTAGATTTTTCAGCTTCTCCCTTTTTTAAGAATAGAAATGGAAGAAGGATGCTTTTGAATGATAAACTGTTCCCATTCTCACCTTTAACCCTACCCAGTCCTTTGAAAAACAGCGTGTATTGCCCCATCCACCTTCAGCCATTTTTGCAGTGTGCTCTTGGGGTAGAAATGAGTTGCTGGGGGCCACACAGAGACTGTAAGTTTCCCATCCCTATTTCCAAAATTGTCAGAATTATTGACTCGATCATGTGCAGTAATGTGGAAGGGATATAACCGAGGTGCAGAGGATGAAAGCAGAGTATCCCTAGTTAAAATGCATTACCTGGAAATTTTCTCTGCAAGACGAGAAGGATCGATACCTGATCCAAGAAAATCTGGCAACTTAGGTAGATCAGTAAATGCTTTGTTACGTTGCTTGAGTTTGATACCCAGGGCAGAAAACTCTACCAAAAACCTCCACCCAAACAAAAAACCCTCTGCTTGGGTTTTTTGCCTTTTCGTGCCACCTAAAATCGGGACATTAATGCAGCCATTAATGCCCTATCGTTTGGCAAATGTACTAAAATGGCTGTGAAGAAAACCCTTACTGAGAACTCAGAATTGGGGAAAACTATGTGCTGACTGATAGGCAGATAGAAAGCTTGGGAATAGAGTGTAGGAATTTCATTTGTGGACTTGAACTAAGGCAGCCAATTCCAAGATGCTTAAAGGAAGGAAGTACCCAGCATTTGTTTTGTGGAATTTATTTTCGTTTCAGGCCTCCCTGGTCTTTGAAGAAGGGGCTGTCTATTTTACAGATGACAGAGGAAGACTCCCAAACTGAGAATAGATGGATTTGTGCAAGGACCTTACCCTTCCTGATTTGGCCTCTTCTTCTCTTGATCTGCTTGTAATCTGTAGGCTCTCAGAGACTGAATTAAGCTCTTCAAAACCCATATCAACCCACCCACCCCCCAC